TCTTGCCGCCGAGGGACGTCATCATAAAGTCCGGCAGCCCGATCGCCGAACGCCGACGAAAGCGGCGAAGGAAAGCCTCCGTCTCGTGTGGGGTCAGTCGTTCCGCCACAAATATTAGATCCGAGGGAAGGTCTCGGCTTCGCGCTTAGCCTCGAGGACGAGCGGCGGCGTCGGGGGCAGAGGGGACTGTGTCGGCGACAACGGCGAGGCGGAGGTCGGCGGAGGCGAGGGCGAGACGGAGGGCGGTGGCGGCGAGGGCGAGGTGGAGGGAGGCGGCGGCGGCGGCGAGGCGGAAGGAGGCGGCGACGAGGGCGAGGCGGACGGCGGCGGCGGCGGCGGCGAGGCGGAAGGGGGCGGCGGCGAGGGCGAGGCGGAGGGAGACGGCGGCGACGGCGAGGCCGAGAGCGGTGGCGGAGATGGCGAGGCGGACGGCGGCGGCGCCGGGGATGGCGAGGCCGACGGCGGTGGCGGCGACGGCGAGGTCAAGGGAGGCGGCGGCGAGGGCGACGCGAACGGAGGCGACGGTGACGGCGAGGCGGAGGGCGGCGGCGGCGACGGCGAGGCCGACGGCGGCGGCGGCGACGGCGAGGCGGAAGGAGGCGGCGGCGGGGGCGAGGCGGAGGGAGGCGGCGGCGATGGCGAGACGGACGGTGGCGGCGGTGACGACGAGGCGGAGGGCGGCGGCGGCGACGGCGAGGCCGACGGCGGCGGCGGCGACGGCGAGGAGGACGGCGGCGGCGGTGACGGCGAGGCGGCTGGCGGCGGTGGCGACGGCGAGGAGGAGGGCGGCGGAGGCGACGGCGAGGCCGACGGCGGCGGCGCACTGGTCAAACTATTAGCCTCATAATGAGGAAAAGGCTAATAGCGATTTCAAATAGTGCTACTATTAGCTCAGAGGGGCTAATAGTGCAATTATTAGGTGTGCTAATAGCCGATGTCCTAATAATGGACCCTCATAATGCGCACTTAGCGATTTCGCGATTCATGCCGCATGCTTCACGGCGCGCCCCGGCCTAATAGCTGGGCCTCATAGCGACATGCCGGCCACGGAGCTCGTCGCGCCCATGCCGCCATCGGCGCCCGCTGACCATCTGGCGTGCAGCGAGAAACCCTCTGCGAGCTGGCGCCAGCGTGGTGGTTTGGCGGCGTGCGGCGCAGCGCTGGTCTTCTTGGCGTCCATCCACGCTGATCGCGGAGGATCCGGCGAGAAGCCTTGCGCTGCCATCGGTCAAGGCGCAGCTGGACGAGACGATGCGAGAGGAAGGCCGGCGGCTTTTCGAAGCGCAGCACGACCTGCCGCGCCCGGCGCGCTGATGCCGACCACTGCAGGGTTTGTTGTCGACGAGCAGCTGTTTTTCTTGTTTGACTTGGCGATTTGAGAGTCGCGCACAGCACACTGGCCAGTGTGCTCCTCGCTCGCTCCCCGCTCGCCTCGGTGACCTGTCGCCCACCAGCGCGCGGCGACCGCGCGCACACCACCAGCGCGCGGCGACCGCGCACACCGCGCCCGCCGGCTCTCCGCCCTCCTCACCACCCGTCGGCGCTGTCCGCAGGCATGTGAGGCGGAACGGCGACCGCACAGCGCGCGCGGGTGTGGAGAACGTGATCAACCGCCGGGCTTCGGCCCCTCGCCGGCGCAGCGCCGGCGAGGTCCTGGGTCATCCCCGGGCGGCGGTCCGGGCGGCAGCAGATCTCTGCGCCGCCCGCATCCTGTTCGTGATCAGGGCGTGCGCAGTTTGAAATTGCAAGGTCCGAGCGCGCGCCCGCGCCCGCCGCGCCCCGCACGCAGCCACATCCTGCGTTCTGCGGCGGCAGCGGCCTTATCTCTCTCTCTCCCTGCTCTCCCAAGCCGTGCGCACCGTCGCCGCGCGCGCGCGCCGCCGCAAGCTGCCGGGCTGACGCTCGTCCCCGTGCCCCTGTTGCGCAGGCAACACCCGCGCTCGTGCGGACCGCACGACCAGCTTCCTGCTCGCGCCGCCCTCGCTGTGGCCCGGCGTCTCCGCCGGCGGCTGGTGCGTCAAGGTGATGAAGAGCACCACCAAGCCTGACGTCACCACGGTCAAGTTCAACGACTCCACGTTCTCGTTCGCCGTGGTTGCCTCATGGAAGCCCGTCTCCTAGAGAGTCGGCGCCATCGCTCTTGCCGCGCCGCGCGTAGTGCGCGTCGCGCGGGTACCGCACTATTAGGGCACTATTAGGGCCACTATTAGGCTCTCATAGTGCCCTAATAGCGCCCTAATAGTCGCTATTAGCCCATCTCATAGTGGTGTTCTAATAGCTCCAGACGTTATGAAGCTCAGCTATTAGCCCCTCTGAGCTAATAGTAGCACTATTTGAAATCGCTATTAGCCTTTTCCTCATTATGAGGCTAATAGTTTGACCAGTGCGGTAATGGCGAGGCCGACGGCGGCGGCGGCGACGGCGAGGCCGACGGCGGCGGCGGCGACGGCGAGGCGGAGGGCGGCGGCGGCGACGGCGAGGCGGATGGCGGCGGCGGCAACGGCGAGGCGGAGGGCGGCGGCGGTGACGGCGAGGCCGACGGCGGCGGCGGCAACGGCGAGGTGGATGGCGGCGGAGGCGACGGCGAGACGGACGGCGGTGGCGGCGAGGGCGAGGCGGAGGGTGGCGGAGGCGAGAGGGCGACGTTGACGGTGGTGGCGGCGAGGGCGACGCGGAGGGCGGCGGCGGCGAGGGCGACGCGGACGGCGGCGGCGGTGACGGCGACGCAGACGGCGGCGGCGGTGACGGCGAGGCGGACGGCGGTGGCGTTGACGGCGAGGTCGACGGCGGCGGCGGCGAGGGCGAGGCGGACGGCGGCGAGGGCGAGGCGGAGGGTGGCGGTGGCGACGGCGGCGGCGGTGACGGCGAGGCCGACGGCGGCGGCGGTGACGGCGAGACGGAGGGCGGCGGCGGCGACGGCGAGGCGGCTGGCGGCGGTGGCGACGGCGAGGCCGACGGCGGCGGCGGCGACGGCGAGGCGGAGGGCGGCGGAGGCGACGGCGAGACGGACGGCGGCGGCGGCGACGGCGAGGCGGAGGGCGGCGGCGGTGAGGGCGAGATGGACGGCGGCGGCGGCGACCGCGAGGCGGAGGGCGGCGGCGGCGACGGCGAGGCCGACGGCGGCGGCGGCGGCGGCGGCGAGTTGGAGGGCGGCGGCGGTGACGGCGGGGCGGAGGGCGGCGGCGGCGGCGGCGGCGAGGTGGAGGGCGGCGGCGGGCGGCGGCGGCGGCGGCGAGGCGGAGGGCGGCGGTGACGGCGAGGCGGAGGGCGGCGGAGGCGACGGCGAGACGGACGGCGGCGGCGGTGACGGCGAGGCCGACGGCGGCGGCGGCGACGGCGAGGCGGAGGGCGGCGGCGGCGGCGGCGACGGCGAGGTGGATGGCGGCGGCGGTGACGGCGAGGCGGAGGGCGGCAGCGGCGATGGCGAGGCGGAGGGCGGCGGCGGCGACGGCGAGGCCGACGGCGGCGGCGGCGACGGCGAGGCCGACGGCGGCGGCGGCGACGGCGAGGCGGAAGGAGGCGGCGGCGGGGGCGAGGCGGAGAGCGGCGGTGGCGGCGAGGCGGAGGGCGGCGGCGGCGACGGCAAGGCCGACGGCGGCGGCGGCGATGGCGAGACGGACGGCGGTGGCGGTGACGGCGAGGCGGAGGGTGGCGGATTGCGGATCACCTTGATGGCAACCTCTGCCGCTGCACTGGGTATCGTCCGATCCTCGACGCCGCCAAGTCCCTTTGCGCCCACGCGCCGTGCGGTGGCGGCGGGCCTTGCTGCGCCAGTGGCAGCGGCGACGGCAGCGGCGGCGGCAACGGCTGCGGCGGAGGCAACGGCTGCGCCAATGGCAATGGCTGCGAACATCCTGCCGACCCCAGCGGCCGCCTTCTGGTGGACGGGGACGTGGTGACGGCCACCGCCGACAAGCTGGCCGTCTACTCCTCCGAGCGGTACTGCGACTCGCGCGCGGCAGCAAGCGAGCCGGTGATGCCTACTGCGCTGCTGATCGCGCCCCACGACTTAGTCAGTAAGTCTGAATGTGAATGCTCAGGCGATGCCGAGTGAGCTGTCGGCCGCGCCTCGGCCGAGGAGAGCGTCGAGGTGTACCCGCGCGCAGACCTCGGCGCGCATCTCCCCATATCTCCCCCTATCTCCCCGTATCTCCCCGTATCTCCCGCCGCCTCCCTCGGCGCGCTACGCCATCTCCCCATATCTCCCCATATCTCCCCATATCTCCCGCCGCCTCCCGCGGCGCGCGGCGGCTCCGCGACAGCGCGCCATGGCGACGTGCCCGTCCCTCCCCTCTTGAGCGGGCGGCCACCTCCTCGGCCCTGCGTGTTGTCCCTCCGCCGCCGAGGCTGGCCGAGATGACACGAGATGACGCACGAGATGACACGAGATGGCACGAGATCTAGGCGCGCTGCAGGGCCTCAAGCTCGGCGCCAAGAACCCGATCTCGATGGTCGACGGCTACAACTTTGACGGCGCCAGGCGTCAGCACCCCCCCCCCCCCTGCCCTTCCCCCCCTCCCCTCCCCTCCCCTCCCCTCCCCCTCCTCTCTCCACCCGCCTCCCTCTCCGCCGCCCTCCCTCACCGCCGCCGCCGCCCTCCGCCGCCGCCGCCCTCACCGCCGCCGCCCTCACCACCGCCACCCTCACCACCGCCACCCTCTTCACCGCCACCCCTCACCGCCGCAACCCTCACTGCCGCGCAGGCGTACAAGGACTCGAAGCTCTGCCTGGCGATGCTCTCGCACACGCTGCACCAAAACTACCACAAGCAGACCGGCATCGCCTTCTCCACCGTCTACCCGGGCGGGGACTAGCACTAGCCGTCTTCCACATGGTCCCTCGGGTCCCTGCTGCTCCTAATCTCTTCGTACATCCTCTTGCGCTGGTCTCCGCAATAAGTCCTGCTCTCCTTCCCTCCACCCTCGTCTCGCCCTGCGCGTCTGCCCCAATTCTCGTTTCTCCCCCGTCGTCTGCCACCTACGTCGTCTGCCCTACGTCGGCTGGCGACGGGTCCTCCACAGTCGGTTAGGTCGCCGCCCTCCTCGTGCCTCTTCCCAACGTTCCCTCGGCGGCCGATGCCGTGTCTGTGGCGCTACTTGGCGGTCTGCTCCGACTCCCCCGTCCTCGGGTCTGCCCAGCTCTCGTCTGCGCTAGTCTCTGCTTCGTCATCACTGGCGTCTCTCCTCTTCTTTCTCCCCTCCTTGTATGCTTTGCACATCGCGTCGACTCCCTTTCGCGTGAGCACCACTCTCTACACAGGGAACGTGTGTTGCGCACCACGCCAGAGGAAAAAATGGATTCGACTGACTAATTCACGGCTGCGATGAGATGAAACGAGACGACGTGGCGATGGACCGCCCGACTCCTCCCAGGCCCGCACACGCATCCAGTCATAGCGTTCCGCCGCGCGCCATCTCAAAACGTCACGAGGGCAGCCCAAACATCTGGGATCTGCCTGCGCACCTCCATTCCACCCGACGACCCGTCGCCGCGTCGCCCCCCCGCCGTGCATCCGCAGAGCTATCTCGCCACGGCTCCGCGTCCGCCTCGCGCTGCGCCAACCAGAGAGTACGCGTGCGAGGAGCGCCGCGCCTCCTCCTCCTTCTCCGTCTCCGCGCGCTTAAAGAAACACTCCTTCACCCCTCAACACACACAACAACGGTACACGCACGCCACAAGGTCAAAGCTCAGGCCTGAGGGGTAGGGGCGGGCGGCGGTAGCGGTACGAGGGCGTCGCGTCGACGAGCCACATGCCGAGGGCGCGCAGCGTCGACCTCATGTCGTCGAAGTCCACCTTCTCGTACCGGTCCTGCCGCTGCCGGTGGCCCCGAAACGGGCGCGAGCCGGGCACGCTGCACGGCGCCGCCTCCTGCATGCAGCCGTGCGTGAGGTGGTAGATGGCGGCCGACGGCTGGAGCCCGTCCCAGCTGCCGGTGCGAGGGAACCGGTCGTAGGGCAGCCAGCCGAGGCGCAGGCAGTTGCCCCGCTGCTTGCAGTGCGACCCGCTTGGGTGGAAGGTGGCCAGAGTGGTCTCGTTGGCGGTCGGGCTCGAGCGGCCACGCCAGCCCCTCCGGCCTCCTCCCGCCCCTCCCGCCCCTCCGTCCGCCTTTGCGTCCATCTTGGCGTCCGCCATCACAAAGGAGAGGCCGTACTGGTCGCCGATGTTGTTCCAGCGCAGGTAAAACTCGATCAGCCCGCGCCGCACCGCCGACAGCACGAACTCGCTGACGGCGGCCGTGCCGTGCGCGTAGTAGAAGCCGGCGTTGGCCGCGACGCCGACCTTGCGCACCGGGTCCTCTGGCCACGCGTCGCGCTGCACGAGTAGGTCAGCGGGGATCGCCGCCAGCTCGGCGACCACTGGCCGGAGCAGCACGACCGTCGCGTCGCACAGGAGCACGTCGATCCCGGCCGCCAGCATCGCCGCCACGGCGACGTGCCGCTCTGTCCGCGCCGCCTGGATTTTTCAGGTGAGGTCAGGGAAGGCAGGCCTCTCCACGCGCACAAAGGGTGGTAGGGCAAGGGCCAGGCAGCCGTCCACGTCTAAGACACTGGAGCCGCACGGCGTTCAAAGTGCAAGGCCCGTGAGGGTGTTGTGAGGTGTGCGTGCGTGCGTGCGTGCGTGCGTGCGTGCGTGTGTGTGTGTGTGTGTGTGTGTGTGTGTGTGTGTGTGTGTGTGTGTGTGTGTGTGTGTGTGTGTGTGTGTGTGTCGCCTGGATGTGCCTCTGCAAGCACGTCTCGTTCCACGCGGCCAGAGAGCGAGACAGGTCGGCCGAGGGGATGGCGCGCGCGGTGAGGTCAGAGTGCAGCTCGGCCTCCATCGAGAGGACCAGAGTGTTGTGGTACGCCAGCTTGTGTGCGTGCAGCACAAAGTTGAGCACAAGCTCGCGGTAGTCCCAGTCACCGCTGGTGACGACGACACGCCCGTCGAGTGCCGTCCTCTTCGCGAGGGCGACCGCGTCTCCGTACACCGCCACTTCGTCGGGCGAGTGCGGCACATCGCGCGACCGCGCTTGCACCCACGCCTCGCGGTGGATATATGGCTGCGTCCACTGCTTGTAGCGCCAGCCGCGTGGCGTGTCCTCCCGCACGTGCTGCAGGTTGCCCTCTCCTGGCGCGCAAGGTCGACCGTCGCAGACTGTCGAGTGCGACGGGAACCAAGGCATTCGCTCCGCCTCCTCACGCCGAACGCCAGAGTCGGCCACCTCTCGGTCCGACGGGCGGCGGCTTGGCACGCGACCATCATGCTCTTGGGGCTTGCCAGGGTCGTAGCGCGCTCGCGAAGAGACTGCGAGCCAGAACAGGGCGAGTCTCATACATGAAACACAAGTCACCGACACCACCTCTCTCACGAAAAGAATCTACTGAAGTACTCCAACAATTTTACAACAAAACTCTCTCGCACGGCACTAGGCACGGACTGGCGCGCACTGGCACTATCAACACAGGTAGAAAAGAATTTTGAAATGCGATCGAACCCAATGGGCACAGGAACAAGAGAAGCGATCGCCATCTCGCTGGCCTCTCCGCAGGCCCCCCCGACCGCGTCGAACTCATCGGCGCGGGCTCTCTCGGTTACGGGACCGGCCCCAGCTTCGGCTGAGGGCTAACAAGCTGCCGAGCCCAAATCACTGTGCGAGTCGTGATTTCTTGTTGGTTGGTCTTCAAAAATCTCTCTGGAGATGTGCTACCTCGCGCGGGCCGATTGGGCCGACTACGAAAAGATGGAGGTGGAGTGGGGCTGGGCATTCGAGCGGGTGGCGTTCTGCTTGCCGCAGTGAGCCGGTCTCTATTGGCGGGGACTGTTGAACCAGCCAGAGTCGCGTTGGACGTTGGTGCACCTGCAACCGTACGTGGCGCTCGTGGCCGCTGCTTAGCCTTGTGTTTTGAATGTTTGGATCTAGAGAGAGGCAAAGGAGCTTTCGCATTCCGAGGCTGGTGCGGGATCTCACTCGACATTCCGTGCTCGGCCAGCTCGTTCGCGAGCCCAGTACGGGAGAATACGCCATCTCGCCGTCTCACCGCACACCGAACGTCACAAGTCTCGTCTATCTATGTGAAGGCCTTCTAGAGGCCCGCGGGTAGTCTCCCACCCCCATCCCCAGGGCCTCCAGGCCGGCTCGCCCTTAACCTCTCATAGACCAGCGCGCAGCGCCATCGGGGATATTTTCTTCTCATAACAAGGTATGTGAACAGCGCCTTTTCCTGACCGACACCCCAAATTTGTCTTAGATGCA